AGAATCTTGATTGGTGCGTAGCTTCAGGGAGAGTATAAACTTAGTGCAACACCCCAACACGGTGCACTCTCACTTCCCAGGGCCGGGACCCCTGCACAACACCTCAGGAACGCTAGGAAAACAGACGAGCAAAACCAAGCCCTTAAGCCTTGTTATAGCCAGGTTCATATCTGGCATCAGCTTATGGTTTTGACTTTTGAGTAGTTGTGTCCGTCAGATGCTGTCACTAAGGAAAGACCACCATGGGGTGGTTTTAAGTAAATGCCAGGGTGGTGTACTCCGTGGTAAACCCAATATGCCAAATACCAGTAACAATGATGGGTCTCATTCTCCTAACCCCAAAAGAGCCTTGAATATGGCACTTTAAAATCTCAGGGCTACTTTTGGAAAACAGTATGGACAATTCTCAAAAGATTAGAAATTGAACTCCCATTTGACCCAGCAATACCACTCCTGGGAATATATCCCAGAGAGGCAAAAATGTATAGTCGAAGTGACATCTGCACTTGTTTGTTCATTGCAGCACTCTTTACAATAGCCAGAATCTGGAAAAAACCTGAGTGCCCGAGAAGAGACGACTGGTTAAAGAAACTTTGGTACATCTACACAATGGAGTACTATGTAGCTGTTAGAAAAGATGAAGTCATGAAATTTACATACAAGTGGTACTACATGGAAAGTATCATGTTAAGCGAAATGAGTCAGAAAGAGAGGGATAGACATAGAAAGATTGCAATCATCTGGGAAACATAAAGTAACAAAACAGGAGACTAACACCTAAGAGTGGCTGAGGTAAGTACCAGGAGGTTTGCTCCATGGCTTGGAGGCCAGCCGCACAGGCTAGGGGGAAAAGGCAGCTCAGATAGAGAAGGGAGCACCAAATAAAGGGTGTTGGGAGGATCCTCCCAGGATGGGAGAAGCATGCTGAAAGTAGACTATGGACTGAACATGATTGCCACTTGATGCCTCTTTTGCAAACCATAACACCCAAAAGGAGAGAGAGAACAAAAGGGAATGCCCTGCTGCAGACCCAAGGTGGGATGGGGGGATGGGGGGTGGGAGGGATACTGGGATCCATGGTGGTGGGAAATGGGCACTGGTGGAAGGACGGGTATTTGATCATTGTATAATTGAAACTCAAGCACAAAATTTGTAAGTCTACAACTGTACCTCATGGTGTCTCACTAATAATAATAATAAAAAAATCTCAGGGCTAGGAATGAGGAGACGTTACTGGTGCCTGCTCAAGGCAATCGACGAACAACAGGATGATCGTGATTGTGATCATGATTGCTGGGGTGGGGTATCTAGATTCAAGGCTAGTCTTTGCTATCAAGTGAGGGTGTCAACAGAGAACAACTAGACTTCTCATTACCAATAGCTCCCATTAGTCTGTTTGCTTTAATTAAAAGGTTTGTAATCCTAAAGCTCTATATGACATAATTTTTACTTATAAAAATTTAATTTTTTAAAAATTTTTCTTTAATTGAGTCACTGTGAGATACACAGTTACAAAGCTGGGGTTTCAGTCAGACAACGTTCCAATACCCATCCCTCCACCAGTGCACATTTTCCACCACCAATGAAACCAGTTTCCCTTCTCCCACCCATCCCTCCATCACAGCCTGCCTCTAAGGCAGGCACTTTTCTGCACAATCTCTCTCTCTCCCTCTCCCTCCCTCTCTCTCTCTCTTTCTCTCTCTCTCTCTCTCTCTCTCTCTCTCTCTCTCTCCTGTTCTCGCTCTCGCTCTCCTTTTGGGCATTAGAATTTGCAATACAGATGCTGAGAGGTTATCATGTTTATCCCTTTACCTACTTTCAGCATGCAGTTCTTATCCAGAGTGATCACTTCCAACTATTATTGCCATAGTGGTTCCTTCTAGTACTAGAAGATATCAGCCTGAATGATGTCATCAGAAGGAGGTTGATGAAGAGAATTTTGTTCATATATGTGTATATAGATATATATGTGTATATGTGTGCAGTCTCTGCCCCCGCGCCTGGGTGTTCCTTCCCGGAGTCCCTTGGAGGGGAGCGGGTTGAGCTTTCCTCCCCGCCCTGACCAGGGCTACGGCAGCCGAAGACCTCCAGGACCAGCCACCACCATGCTGAGACCACTCTCCGCACACATGAAGGTACTGGCAGAGGGACAAAGCCACGCGGGTTCCGGGGCCGAGACCTCCAAGCCTACTCGAATTGGAGTCGAGCATCTTCCACCCAGATCCTCCAAATTCCAGTAGGCGGGGGTCACACCCACCACCTGGCCCCCTGGCACCGTGTAATCCCATCAGCGGCCAAGACTCAGAGACTATAAAATCCAGATCCCGGAACCGCGCGGCCGCGAATGCGGAATGACATCTTATTATCTCATTCCTACTTTGGACAAACTTGCAGGCTATCGAATGTAGCCTGCCCACAGGGCAGAGTCTGGCAAACTCCCCGTGGCCCACCAAATATGCCAAATACCAGTAACAATGATGGGTCTCATTCTCCTAAAGAGCCGTGAATATAATCTCAGGGCTAGGATGAAAGAGACGTTACTGGGGCCTGCTCGAGGCAATCGACGATTAACAGGATGATGAAATGAAATGAAATGAAATGAAATGTGTATACATTCCAAGCCTACTTGGATTGGGGCTGAGCATCCTCCACCAAGATCCTCAAAATTCCAGTAGGCGGGGGTCACACCCACCAACTGGACCCTGGTGCCATGTAATCCCATCAACGGCCAAGACTCAGAGACTATAAAACCCAGCTTCTGGAAGCGTGCAGCCGCATTCGAGGCTGCACAACATCTTATCATCTCATTCCTACTTTGGACAAACTGGCAGGCTACCGAAAGTAACTTGCCCACACGGCAGAGTCTGGCAAACTCCCCGTGGCATACCCAATATGCCAAATACCAGTAACAATGATGGGTCTCATTCTCCTAACTCTGAAAGAGCCTTGAATATGGCACTTTTTTTTAAATGTCTCAGGGCTAGGATGAAGGCGACGTTACTGGGGCCTGCTCGAGGCAATCGACGAATAACAGGATAGTTGTGATTTGTGTTGTGATATATTTATATATACAAATATGTGGTATATAACGTATATATATGTATAAGTGTATATATATATATATATTCCCCACATACATATGTGGCATATAGAGAAACTTAGTAAGGGAATAGTAAATGGTCCGTGGTAAAAGACCCTGAGAATCAACCTCTAGAACTGAGTTTACTAAGCAGATAAAGTGGGGTAGGTGAGAGGGGACCTTGGGACAGTGACATTGCAATACCACATGCCAGAAATTTAATTGTTTGCAGTATTGTAAACTATGGTGACTAACATTTAAAAAAAAATCTTCCTGTGCATCCTTTTGTAAATTACATTCAAACACAGAGATAAAGCAGGGTACACTTCTTTTATGCATGCTCTACACTAAATTTCATCTTTAAAAAGTAAATTTGAGGGCAGGAGCGGTAGTAGAGTGGGTAGGATGCTTGTCTTGCATGTGGCTTATCTTGGGCCGATCCCAGGCCTCCCATATGGTCCTCCAAGCACTACTAGGAGTAATTCATAAGTGCAGAGCCAACAGTGATCTCTGAGCATTGTGGGTGTGACCCCCAAACAAATACACAAGCAAAAAATCAGAATCAAACATTTGCAAAATTCCTAAGACAACCCATACAGTATGATTAATCAACTCCAGTCTGCCACTTTCAAGTCCATAAATCTGTCAATACATATATTGGTTCGGCCCATTTTCACTGGGATCACTGCTGAGATTTCTGGTCTACAATTACAAGCTGTGGTCACACTTTGATGATGCTAACTGGATCTCATTATTGTTTTTTCTTGATAAAAGGACAGGTATAAGGGGGAAAAGGAAGAAAAGTAGAAATAGTTCTCCCACAAAAATTTCTTTCAGATGGCTCTAATCTATGGCAGCAATGGGGAAAATAAGGTATTTAGAAGCAATAGACACTTCGAAGAAATATATTTTCAAATCATTGGTCCAGGAGATATCAGAAAACTCTAAGAATTAACAACAATAACAACACACACACACACACACACACACACACACACACACACACAACGGATGGGCCGGAGCAATAATGCAATGGGTAGGGCTTTTCCCTTACAAGTGACTGATATGAATTCAATTCCTATCACCCCATATGGTTCCATGACCTGCAGGAGTGATCTCTGAAAGCAGAGCCAGAAAGATGTCCTGGAAGATATCAGTGTAGCCCCAAAACTAATATAGATGTGTGTATATACATATATTTATATACATGTATACATGTGTACATATATATTATATGTTATTACATATGAAAACGTATGTCTTGGGCCAAACACAGTGTTGCTCAGGGCTTACTCTTGGCTCTGTCCAGTGCCAGGGATATTTCAAGTTTTTCTTTTTTAGGTAAGGGTGGCACATATCTGGCAGTGCTCAAGGGCTATTCCAAGCTCAGGAGAGACCTGTAGAGATGCTCAGGGGCCCATCTGTGGTCCCAGGGATCAAAGCTGGGTGGTGCCTGGTGCAACCATACTGAAAGCAAATCCCTTCCGGCCTGTGCTATCTCCCCAGCCGTCAACTTTCTTGTATATGCAAGTGCGCTTCTGGGGACCCAGGGCCTTACACAAATTTGTGAGCTACGTCCCTCCCTCCTATATGTTCTTTTGTGAACAGAAACCCCCAAATAAAACACACATACTATGGACCTATTGCTTTGCATAAACACATTTTTAATATTGTCTTAATTATTCATTAGTCGTGAAATGAGAAAATCCACAATTTTATGATTCATGGCCTTCAACGAAGTAGATCTTGAGGATGTTTGATCGAATTCAAAGTTTAAAAACTTACCAAATATCTCTGTAAAACCATAAAGAACACCAGTTTGTGTTTATTTTACTACTCATCCACCTGAAAATATGAGCTGATTGTAACATCGGTCGGGAGACAGAATCCCACTATTTCAATGGTTTTCAACGATACTCACCTCCTCCAAAAGGTCCCCATATCACACGGCGGATGGCCTTTACCCAGTCTTCCATATCATTCTGGGTGCTCGCCATAAGGAGGTAGCTCTCATGATTTGCTGTCATCCGATCTCGGTCACCTCCTGTAAGAGACAGTGACACCTGAGTGTGTGAGGCCCCAAGATTCCCGACAACCAGCAGCCCAGAGGGAAGCCCTAAAGCACAGGTCTAGCCCAATGGGTTAGAAATATTTAACATCGGTTCACAGTGGGACCAAAACTCCACCTAATAAGGAAATGCCCTGATATTTCCAGAGGAAAGGTAGAGAGCAAACAGCCAGCCTGGCTTTCTGCCCTAGCAACAGCTCATGGGGCTGTATTAAGCCCTAATCCAATCTATTGACAAGAGGCTGCTGACTAGGGACAAAGAGCAGAATCAAAAGGAAAGGCGGAGAATTGGTTCCCAGAGCCTGAATTTTCTTTTGAAACAAGTGCCGAACAGAACAAGTAGTCCCCGGAGCACACACAGCATGGCCCACAGGGAAGGAAAGAAGTTTCAGGAAACAGCAAAGAGTCACGCGTAAAACTGGCTTCCAAGTTTTGTCTTATGAATATGGTTTAGCCTCTTCTTCATCAATACCTTTTTCTTTGGTGTGTGGGGGGACATACCCAGCAGGGCTTAGAGTATACTCTTGCCTCTGTGCTCAGGAACTAGTCCTGGTGGAGCTCTGGGGACCATATGGGGTTCCAGGGATCAAACCCGTGTTGGCCACATGCGAGGCAATCGCCCTACCCATGGTACTATTTCTCCAGTCCTCTTCATTCATATCTTTAAGAGGCTAAAGAGAAGATAAATTGGCCTGTCACTGGGGTGCATCGGCCTTCCAGATGGCCCCATCTGTGGTCAGGGGGTGAGCATTTGAAAATCCCCGGCAGTGTTTCGTCTTTTCTCTAAGTCTCTACACTTAGACATGTTACTGTCGCCAATACCAACTTTGAATTGGCAGCGTTTTGATGACATGAGATTGAATTTCTTGAAAATTTTTTACAACATTTTTTCCTGGTAACCTAATTTTCTCCTTCACAAAAACAGGAATGACCCAAAATTGTCTGGAAAAAGAAAAAAAAAACGTCTAAAGGCACAGTCTCCTCTGATGTTCAAAGGAATATTTCTAAAGCAAGTATCAGTGACTGCCCTGTTCCACTCGGAAAATAATTATAACATTACTCACTGAGGAATAATTAGATGGAATATTAAGTAGTTCGAATGAATTCTATTAAATTTTTGGTGTTACATAAACTTCTAAACTACTCGGCGGACTCATCAGCATTGAATTTTCACAAAGTGTTGTAACATTTGAAGTATCAGGTGGAATTAGATCAACTCTAAGTGTTTGTTTAAATTCCCAGGAACGGAATCCACATGAGAAGCCTGTGGTCTACCTGAGTCAGATCCACAGTGACTCAGTTCACTGACTGAACTTGAGCATGTTGGCGTGGGGTGGAGGTGGGGTGGGTGTATGTGTGTGTGTGGGGGGGGGGTTGACAGCAGCTTGCCCTATTCTTTCAAGTTCAACATCACTCACACACAGCTCGAAAGCTATAGATATTTGAATCTTTCTGAATTCTAGGATTCTCATGGAGAAATACAACTCTTCTAACATTGCTGCATATCTACAGACAGAGGGAATGCCAGAGGAATAAAATAACTTAAAAGCCAACTAAAGAAACAAAATGGATGTTTTATGTTTACTACAAACAGGATCAGAGGATGCAGTGAAGGGACCATATCAAATCTATTTTTCAGGTCTTGTTTATCCCTTAAATAAAGCTGTTATTCTCACAGAATAGAGATATTTCACTACTAGGGAATCAGTGGTCTGGCTGCATGGCTCGGCCTATACCAGGTCAATCATCAAACATTGGTTTAGGAGATAAAAAACCCAAGTGAAGTCATAATTCTATCATTTGCTGTTTGAGTTCTGAGAAATCACACAACTCTGGGAAGTTTGAAGTCTTTAGTCAATGTAGAAATAAAAATTTCATATACTTTTGAGAATTAAATGGAGCAAAATTAATTAAATACTAGCACTGTTCCTAATTAAAAAAACTTTAAAAATTCCATAAGCATTAATTCATTCTCATTTAACTGCTTCTCACTCTAACAAATAAAAAAAATACATTAATTTGATCTCAGGGATACTCTGTGTAGAAAACATAGAAACAATTAGTCAAGGATACATATATATGTATATATATATTCATTTTTGATAAAAAGGTTATAGGTGATGCCTAATAATTATATCACATTGTATGATATTATATTTATGCATGTAAGTGTGTGACCCATTAATTTGGGTGGCAATATGGTAATGTGACAAAGAACTAAATGACATACGGAAAAGAAACAATACTTCATGTTGCAGCACTAAATTCTTATTCTGTATTCTGATCTACTTATACAACAATCCTGGGCAAAATAGGTACCAATTTTATATCAGAAAATTTTAATGATTGTCTTTGCCTGCAGGGTGCTTAGCAATTCAGACATCCTGCTGTGTCACGCCCAGTCCTGGCAGAAGCTGCCCCAGCAGTGACAATGAGTGACAGCAGCTAGAGTAGGTTTCTGCCTGGAAGCAGGGAAGAGAAGAATCAGAAGCACAACTGGCCATTATCCCCTGACTTTTCATCGGATTCTCTCTTTCTGCCAGGGCTGCTGGGTGCCTGACCCTGAATCTCATTTAGCCTGCCAATCACAGATATGATATACCAGCTGTGAATCTCACCCAGGGAGATAGATCCTGACTTCTCAATGGACCAGCGAGAGGCCAGCGGTGAAGATTATACAACCTTTTCCTATAAGTCTCAGTGATGAAAATATAGACTTATTGCTGCGAATGTGATTAAAAAAGACATTTTAATAGCCCATTTGTATAATGAAGACTTTTCTATGGATCTGAAATAGGGAATTCACTGAATGTGTATAATTTACAAACGGCAAAGCCATCAGTTCTAGTTCACAGCACTATGAATCAAACATTCTAAAATCTTGGTATACTGTCTTGGCAATTTGAAAATGTTCTGGTTAATGTATGATTTTGATAAATGAATATTCTCAATATTGACTTTCAACCACGTGGATAAATTCTCATCCTTTTTGTTAATAAATTCTAGAACTTAATGCTCCATTTAGTCAAATGTGAGACTAAATTCTTTTGCAGTCTAAAATTCTTAAATGGAGGCTCAAGATCTAACCAGCAGTGGAGTGTTATCATATTTAGTTCACATATGTGAATGTGCATATATATATATAGGTATAACATTGCTACATTATAAAAGTATATATTGCACATGATTAAATTCTGCTTCAAGATAAGTGCTGATGCAGCTTTATTTTTGTACTTTTACAAATACTGCTTGAGGACCAGAACAGTGGGTAGGGTGCTTGCCTTGAAGGCAGCTCACCCGAGTTGAATACCCAGCACCCCATATGGTTCCCTGATCACTAATAGGAATAATTCCTGAGTTCAGATCCAGGAATAATACCTGAGCATTGAAGAGAGTGACCCTCAAAACAAAAACAAAGCCAAAAAAAGAATGCTGCTTTAGATGATGGTATATTTACATACAGTTCTAAGGGCATAATTTATCAGCACATTTCATATACTCTTTGGATGTTGACTCAGATTGGTAGTAACACCTCGGTGCCTATGTTAACCATTTGGGGCATATGTGATTTTGTTAACTTATTAGGCCACATAATCCATTTTTCCTTGCATATGTGTGTGTGTTTGTGTGTGAGTGTGTGTGTGTACTTCATTGGGATCCTCTATTTTCACTGTATATGAATTTATCTTTTCAGAAATAATTTTTTTGAAATAAACATTGAGATCATCAATTTTTGCTTAATAGAAAATTTAAGGGTAGATTAAAGAAACTACATTAGAATAAGTGCACAATTAACTTAAAAAATACAAATATCCATTAGCCATATAAAAAGCCAATTGTTTAATATAAAATTGAGGTTTTTGTAGGGCAAGTACCCTACCAGCTGTACTATTTCTCCAGTCCCACAAATATCGAATTAACTTCTGCCTAGAAAGAAAAAACTGTAAAATGTATTAGTGTTAACTAAAAATGTAAAACAATTACTCTGAAGAGATCATCTCTAGTCAATGAACTTTTAAAAATATACAGTGAATTAAATTATTTGTATTTGAATTTTAAAACATGCTGGTTAAGAGAAACTGTGGTCACAAATATTTGGGTTTTTTCCCAAGCAGAGTTCAAGACACAGATCTGAGGACATTTCACTAAATTCCTGATACTGTTAATAATTTCAAGGGTAAAATATTTCCTCATTCCTAATTTCAAATCAGATCAAAACTAGACATTCTGTAATACCCATTTTAATCTAGTTCACAGGGAAATGTTTTAATATTATAACAAGGGTTATTAATTTTCACTAAAAATGACATGGTCTTTATATCTATAAATCTATTACAATTTAGATAGCATCGTTATAATAGCTGAGTCTTGGCCGCTGATGGGATTACACGGCGCCAGGGGGCCAGGTGGTGGGTGTGACTATAAAATCCAGATCCCGGACGAGAACAGTGCAGTCTTCTGCCCCCGCGCCTGGGTGTTCCTTCCCGGAGCCCCTTGGAGGGGAGCGGGTTGAGCTTTCCTCCCCGCCCCGACCAGGGCTCCGGCAGCCGAAGACCTCCAGGCCGCGCGACATCTTATCAGAATTTTTTTTTTATGACATCTTATTGTCTCATTCCTACTTTGGACAAACTTGCAGGCTATCGAATGTAGCCTGCCCACACGGCAGAGTCTGGCAAACTCCCCGTGGCGCACCAAATATGCCAAATACCAGTAACAATGATGGGTATCATTCTCCTAAAGAGCCTTGAATATAATCTCAGGGCTAGGATGAAGGAGACGTTACTGGGGCCTGCTCGAGGCAATCGACGAATAACAGGATGATGAAATGAAATGAAAATAATAGCTATTGTAATTACTTGTTTTTGTTTTTATATGTGCAGTTATTGTATTTTCACCATTCTTTTAAACGTTACTTTTCTCAAAACTTAGTTTGGATAATCTGTAAGTTATTGTAAAGATTTTTTAAATTTTTATAA